CTAATTTGACTGGAGAATAAATATATTTTAAACTTATTTCAGTAAATATACATAACTATAGAATATATCGATCAAAAATATATGAAAATTTATTTAAAGCTTTGCATAAAGTATAAGTTAAATAATCATTTAATAAATTATCTTGCATAATATAATTAAATGCAGAGAGGGTGAACCGCTCGTGGGTCGAAACGACCATAAAATCAAAGATAAGGAATGCGTTTTTATATAATCAGTAAAATGTAGTAAAATGTTATGTTTATATCAAACTATTGCTACTACCTTTCTTATATTCTTATAATAAAATTGAAATGGAATTGTTACAATCGCGTAGATTTCACGAGTCAACTTTACGATTTTTACCCAATTTGACTTTAATGTACTTACTATTTATTAATGTTAATATTAATTATCTACTAAAAAATACTTTGTCTGTATGTGCATAACTTTACGTATGATACATTCAATTAATAGAAGATTTAAAATTATGATTGAAAGCAGTCAACTGAAACGTATTCATTAGGAAATTGTTTGATATTTTATTTTTTGTTGGACTTTGAATTCATTTAGGATTACACAGGGGATGAAAGGACAAATACGATTACCCAAAGAAATTAACGGTTAGTGTCATTAAAAAAATAACGACTGAAGACCGAAATAGAGAGTTTGCATACATTGATTTTTGACAGTCTATGCTAACATACAGTTTTCGAGAAGATAAAAATAATTAAATTTATTTGGCTGTGAACTATGTCTAAAAAGCGTATTTTACATTTTATTGTCACAGGTGTGAGAAAAAAATGACACCAGATAATATAAACACCAAAATAATCACTTAAATAAAAAATATATATCGTACAGTTTAGTGTTTGTCTGGGAAAATATGGAATATCCCGAAAAGGTATTCTGCAAGTTTCATGAAATAGAAGCAGGTATTTGAAAAAAAAAATTTAGTTAAACAAACATTAAAAAAAAATGGGCATTACCTGTGAAATTTTATGGCTATCTTATAAACACCTTTTATTAATTTTCAATGAACTTTTTTAACATATTTTTTTCATCATAATGTTAGTATTTTCAATAAAATAAAAAATACCTTTTTCAGGTTGTAGAAAGAAACATTATCCAGAAAAATGATTAAATGACGCATTAAAAATCAAATGATTTCAACCATTTCAAAATAAGAGGTTACGTTGAAACCTTTGATTATATAGTATAATCAAGGATTTAAACTAGTTGTACCTATAGGTACTAGAACATTTAAAATTTCAATGCATAAATATTCCTTAGGCCTTCTCTGCCAGTCAGTCTTAAAATTATGTAAATGTATCTTGTATACAAGGATAAATTAATACTTATTTTAAGAAAAGTTTATGTGAATATGAAAAAATCAGCGTATTTTCAATTTATTCGTCTATCGTCATAAAATGACAATTTCACAAATAAAACTGGCCATGTGCGTGTCGTGCCACGCGCAGTGTAGGGTTCCGTACTTGCTTGTAGTCACCACAATAAATTTTGTAAAGAGTCTATATTTTAAGTAATTACTTGGTGTAAACCACTTTTAATGCATTCTTCTAAGTATTCTTTTTAGGTTAGAAATTTTCTAATTCATAAGTTGAATGACTATTACTCTTAAACAAACAACCCTATTTTAACCATTGTAATTTTTCTTAAAAGTTCATGAAGAGCACTAATCATTATTTTTCTTACAAGTTTTTCAAGTCAATAGTTAAGCTTTTAGAGGGGGGAGGTAAGTATTGACTCAGGTCAGATTACTGGAATATTTTAAGTTACTCGACTAGCAGAGATGTCAATATTTTTCAACGAATGAAACAGTTATATTATTATTGAAACGTTTCAAACATAAATAAGGGCTTGGTTTTTTACAAAGGTCTGTTCAGTGCATACTGAAAATCACTGACACAATACTAATATGTAGACATTATTCCAGTTAATTAAAAAATAAGTTAGAATTACCATATAAATGTTTATAGCTAAATAAATCATTTACCTGATGAGAAACTATTCTTAAAGAAAATATTTTAAACTAAGCTGACCCTTTATCTTCAATTAAGAGAAATCCCTAATAATTTTAATAAAGTTACCTATTTGTCTCAAGAATCTTTGTGAGAAACAATTCCTTATGAAATGGGGTTTTTAAACTGTAGATTTATTTGAAACAAAACACCTATAGACGTCGATGTCTAAGAATGATTATTTATTTATACACCTAAAAGTAATGAAAACAAACATCCAGCTCCTGCCAGCCACCTTGCGCAAATCGACACTTCATCATGCCTGAGGACGTCCTACACTACGTTTGCCCAGACGCGGTCTCCACTCCAGAACTCGTCTACCGCATTGTTTATCGGTTCTTCGGCAAAGATGGCCAGCCCACTGCCACTTCAACTTGCACAATGATAATATGAAATGGTAATACTCACTTAAATATTATAAGGAATCGAATCACACTAATATTATAAAGGCGAAAGTTTGTGTGTATGTTTATTACTTCTTTACATCTAAACGGCTGGAGTGATTTTAATAGAATTTGGTATGGAGTTAGCTGACACCCTGGATTAACACATAGGCTACGTTTTACTGCGGGAAAATATGCCTAATAAACAGCGGGTAATACCGCGCGGCACAACTAGTATTTCATAATTACAATAAAACAAATGAAAGAAAACTTAGTAGTAAGCGTATCATCAAAATCAACAAACAACGTCGTAAGTGCGGAAGATCAATAACGATATAAGACAATACACGCAAACGATATTTAATTTTTTGTACATCACTATTTAATTTGGTAGCGTGATACAACTCTTGAAAGTAGTTCTTTTGAATAATAACAATAGTTTATTATCCACTCTTTTAGACATTATAATTGGTTATTATAGTGATTATATTTTTTTGTTACGGATCCCTTTGCTCGCTCGAAGTTATACCTACAAATAAAATCTTTTGCATCAAATAGTTTTTTTTGTTGTTGTGAATAGATAGTAGATTTAAATAATGAATGGTTTTTGGGTTTCAGTAATGATGTTTACTACTCCAATAATAATAGAAATATTATATTATAAACTCTGGACATTCGCGAAACAATCTAAATATATTGGTCTTTTTTATGGTTCCGTACCCAAAAGTTAAAAACGGGAACCTATTAATAAGACTCCTCTGTCTGTCTGTCCGTCTGTTAGTTGAAATTTTCACAGACGATGTATTTCTGTTGCCGCTAAAACAACAAATACTAAAAATACAATAAAATAAATAATTAAGCGGGGCTCCAATACAACAAACGTGTTTATTGCCTTTTAATGCTCTTTATTAATAACGGCTAAACGTAGACTCTTGAAATATTAACGGAATATGTAGTTGTATATTCACTTTAGAATAAATAATAAAATTAAATTAAACAAATATTTAAGGGGTGGCCCCTACAATAGATGTGATTTTTAGGCGTTATTTGCTCGATATTGTTAATATAGTGTCTAAGGTTGTGTAGATAATGGTACGAAACCCTTCATGCGCGAATCCGGCACGCAAATTTTGCTCGGGTTTTTGTTTTTTTTTATTTTTGTTAATAGGGCTAACGCATGATAAGGTTATTTTTCTTCCACTGTATTAAAATTTGAAGTTGAAAAAGTTTATATAGCTGTATAGTTATTTTCTTTTGGACCACACCGGTTCTTAAATGAATATCAGTCTTTATCATTGTGGTCAAGTCTAATTGTGCGTTAGCCACATTACAAAAATCCATATTTGCTGTAGGCCTAATAAGGCTCATAATATTCAAAAGAGTTATTAATGAGCGAGTAATTAAATGAAAATTAAATAATATGCTTTTTTATTTTTAAAGAAATCTTTAACAGCTGAATTACTATATTATGATTTTTTTTATAGAAATACTAATATGTGTGATACCAATGATGGTACTCCTAATTTCACGAGTGATACTGAGACATAATATTTTTTATTATACATAAAATATCTTCCCCACAAATCATTTAATTACATTAAGTTAATTTTGAATATACAAAATAGTTTATAACAAAACAAAAAATTAACACGGTATTGAATAAAAATACATTAAGGTAGTAAGTAATTTCGTTCCATGCATTTATTTACATTTATATTTTGAAAAAATAATGATGTCGCATTCATTTCAACATTTTAATCAATTATTTCAATGTTGTGTTTTTATTATGTACATTGATTTACATTACATATGTAGGTACATAATTTTACACGAGCCTTTCGCTTCGATTTTGAAAGTTATTCTATTAAAATTATTTTAGTCGTAAGAGACGTTACATAATTATGGAAGACGAAAACAAAACCAACAAGTGAAACATTGATACCCAAAATTTTATAAATTTTGGGTCTTAATTTAGCTTTTTACATATTTTCTTATTTCTAGGTATAAAATTTCTTACGATAATATTTACAATAAATATAATATGACTATAGTGTTATCAGTACAGAATAAATTTAGAACCGCGAAAACATTTTTCGTTTGTTGATCAGAGCACAAGAAAAGTTGCGCTTTAATTCCTTTAACTCCTAAAAACATAAAACTTTTAAAACATTGTGTATTCTCTAATAATGATAAGAATTGCTATAACAATTTAAATGAAGTTCAATTTTCTGTTTTTCTGTAACAATTATAAATAAAACTCTGAAAGAATAAGTATTTTTATAAATATGAGCATAAATATATATCTTAAATGTAGTCAAAATATTAGTAGAGGACAATTTATAAAGTTTCATTCAACCAAAACCAATTATTTACTTTAGTTAAGCAGCATTATGACACTTTAAATAATTTGACAGTTGAAAGAACATCAAAATAAAAACGATTTTAGATAAGTAATCCTTAATGCATAAATACTATTTTTAAAATAGTTTAACATTATTCATACGGAATTACAATTATGTTAATGTAGTTATATGTAGTTTAACAACAGTAACGAAATGCACAACAACAACATTTCCAATATAGCAACTCATTTTACATTCCAGTTCTTAAAAAAATCACTAAGCATACCGTTTCCGATTAACCAAAAGCGATGCCTATCGTTATCAATAGCAATTATTTTACAAAACTTATCTTATTTCCTTCGTTGCTGACTCATGAGCGCCCTGACCCTCTTGAGGTTCGTAATTGTGACGTCATCGTTAGGTTCGAGTTGCAACGCTCGACGATACGATGACGCTGCCGCGGCATATTTACCGTTCAAGTGAAGAATCGCACCAAGGTTGGAGTGAAATTCTGCGTTCTGTAAAAACGAAATTATATTCATATACGTACTCCTCACATTCTTAATTGAGTTGGAGTACTTGATGATCACAAAATAGACCATTTAATGAAGCTGCGTGGAGGATAGCGCGTTCCACGCGTTTATCGGATACGCGTCCGGCTCCAGTACAGACCGCCGCAAACCTGGAAGTGAGGGCGACCGATCTATTAAAGTACGCGTTTCCCGTCTGTCATTATTATTTACTATTGAAAGTCGAAGCTTCCATTTTGCCGTCCTAATACAGCGTAGGTACGCGGGAGTACGCAGCTTACGAGAGCTTACACTCTTGGGTATTGGGGAACACGTGTCGCGCGAGTTAACTCAAGCCAACGTTAGTCGGTTTTTGCTCTTGCGTCAAAGGAAACGTGCATGCCCGGATACGATGTATTTGGACGGCAAAATGAACGTATCGAGATTCAATTGTGCATAATAATGACAGGTGGAGTTAACGTAGCGCTTTGGATCGCTCGGCAGACAGCAGCGCGTTCGCGGTGGTCTGTACAGGAGCTTTACGCATCGTTGTACGCGTGGCCAGCGTGTCCCGGCTACGCGTAGCAAAGCAACGTCCTATCAGTACACAGCTTCACATAACAGCTTAAATTTTAATCATATTTGATATCTCGTAAAGGATTAAAAACAAATTCTCTTTTATTTACTTATATTGCGTCTTACATCGACTCAACAAATAAAATATGTTCGTAATTTTATTCATATCACGGAATAATTTGATACCGTGAATAAAAAGTTTTATTTCATTTGATTTATTTGGTTTCATTTGCGAAATGAAGTGTACAAGCAGTAAAATTGATTTCTGACCACCATAAGCTTATTTTGTTACAACCATTTCTTACTTGTTATATTCCGAGCAATCATATTTGACGTGACAGATTTTGCCACCTTCCTGTGACATAATTTTAAAATTTTGATCTTGCATTGAATATAAAGGTCAGATTTCAAAGATTTTCTTTTGTCTTTTGTATTCCGGTCTAACCAGTGTGACCGAAGACAGAAACAATCATAGGATTTTATGGCAGGCCCGGTATAGATATTTTGATCTCAATTACTCTTTCCCTCAAATCCTATACCTATAATAGTACTACAAATCTTCTTCCAAGAAGTTTGAGAGAATATTTCGGCTACAAATCGTCACAAAATGCTACAACGCTCACCACGGTTACCTGCAATTTACATGAACCTAATACGCTTTAAAGGCAGCTAAAAGCGTGCCTTAAACGCTCAGGTGTTTTTTGTTAACAGTGTTTTATGTGCGTGTGTTACTTTTTGTTTCTACTTCATTTCCCTAATCAAATGCAAGCTTAAATTCGGGCTGCTATCACAAAAATGCACATTCAACGCGTTAGTGCGTCGTTTTGCTGCTGTGGGAATTTCAAACGTGAGTTTGCTTTCGAGGAGGTTACGCGCGCGTTTATCTTTTTACGGCGGGATGCAGGTCCTTTGTCTTTATATCAAGGTACGTTTACACCTCAAAGGACGTTGTGTTAACCGAAACTCAGAAATGAGATTTTAATGTTTTTATTTGAATGTAGTTAAAAGATGTAATATCTTTCGGGATTTTTATTACTTTTCTTACACAGGCATAAAACCATTTTAAGCTGCATTTAAAAACCAATGTTTTAATCATAATACCTATTCATAAATATTATTTTTGATGAGTGTTACGTGTTGGGTCAGACGCACCATCGAGCTTTCAACTCATATCTGCTTCAGCCTAAGCAGTATTTGCTACATCCGGTAGTTTGCGCCTTTCAGACATTTCATAAACTTATATGAAACGTCTGCTAGCTACACAATTGTGCAGCTAGCTGATTTGGATGTTTAAATAGTCTCTTTCGATATTTATCTGACTGATATCCTCTCTTACAGTGTTGATATGAAGATGTTGATGAACTTCTGGGTTGCGAATGAATCAAGGAGCATTTGAAATCTGCTTGAGGATATAGTTCCACGCTCTTTGGATTTTGTTAATATAATATTCACTTGCTAAACCCCAGAACGCAAATCCATAGGATCCATTAAAGCTGCTTTATACAGACTTAACTTGTTGATTACAGATAACTTGGAATTTCTTCCTAGTAACCAATACAGTTCTCGGTATTTGATATCTATTTCATCTCTTTTGGTTTATACATGCTTGGACCATGTAAGCCGGCGGTCTAAGTATATACCCAGATATTTCACTGATTCACTGGTGGGAAAAAGGCTGGAACCCAGTCTTATTCTTGCTCAATCGTTCCTATTAAGAGTGAATGTTAATTGGATAGATGAAGGTGAATGAGCAATCATTTTCTTTATATCTTTCTTTCGGCTTTCGAGATACGACCTAAGTATGCCAAATAAAGTGTGTGGAAGGAGTGTTTTTATTTTGAACAAAAGGCCTTTGTCAAACACCTGCTGTACGTCAAGGAAAACCGCGGAACAGTATGTAGTCGTACTCTATGCGCTCAAACGTATCTCTTATGATTTTGCATACCCTGTGGATATGCTATGTTGTTCTATGTTCCTTTCTTAATCCAAACTGATGATCAGGGATTAATTATTTTTCTGCCAATACCTATGTCGAATAGACGTTTAAGGAGCATTTTTTCAATCAGCTTGGATATAACTGGCAACAAACTAATTGGTCGGTACGACGTCAGGCCATGCGGTGACTTGCCGGGTTTTGGCGGGACTATTATTAATATTTGCGATATTTTCCATGGTGCTGGAAAATGACTCGTTCTTATGACTCCGTTGAATAGGATATTAAGGTACACTTTACCTTTTCTTGGTAGTTCTTTGAGTTTCTGATTAGAGCACTAATTTCTTTTGGTGTTGTAGGCCGTATTGGTAAATCAACCTGTTTTTCTTGGGGAGTACGAGCCCATTTATTATCTCGTAAGCGAATTAGAGGTTTGGACACAAGAGTGCTTACATGCCATACTCAACGAAGCTTCCTTCTTTCTTTTATTTTTTTACGTATATCTATGGGAACTTTTTTGTCAACCTTATTTTTTAATCTGCGAAAGACGTTAAGTACATTTACCATCACAGGGTAATAATAGAAGAGCACAGAAAGAGCAAGGTAATAGTATTGCCAGCGCTGCCAAAAATATGGCCACTCAAAAAAACTACTGCATTAGGCCATACCGCTGCGTAAAATATGGACAATCGCATAAGACAAGTGACTACAGTAAAACGGATCGGTCTTCTCCAGCGACATGTGCTCTCTGGCAAGGACCACACCCTGAAACTATAAAGGATGTGAAGTCTACAAAGAGATCCTTGAAAAAAGAGAAACGCAAGCAGACTACTACAATGGCCACTCCGAATGTAAATTTAGCACAATATAAGAGGGATGTAGGCGGAAACTCTTTACTACCAAATCAGATATATAAACAGACTGGAAACCTGAAATACAGCGATATAGCAAAGAAAAACCGAGACAAACACAACGCGAATCCGACACCTTCAAATAATACAGAGCCAACTCATCTAATGTTGCGAGAAATGTTCCTAAAACAAAGTGAAAAAAATTATCAATTTTTACAACAAATGAGTACTCTACTTGGTCTCATAACAGTCTAGCAATTAAGTTTAAGCCCTTATAGATAGCAGCATGGAACATTAATGGACTCTCACCCAACAAAAGCAGTCGAGACCCTGTTGCATGTTCACGATCTTTACATTCTGCTTATATCGGAAACTCATTTTACTGCCAATAGTTTAGTTAAAATAAAAAAATAACTCTTTAACAATACCAATCACCCTGATGGCAAAGCCCATGGTGGAACCGCCGTTATTTTCAAATCCTCAATAAAACGGCATGAATCCCTTATCTTTAAAGCTGAAGCCACACAGGCCACAACGTAATAGCCCAAGATAAGTAAGGGGACATTATTATTTGTTCAGTTTACTGCCCTCCAAAACATACCTAAACGAAGCCCTGTTCAGTTCATATCTGAAATCATAGCTAGTGGAGATTGAAACTCCAAACACACTATACGGGACTAATTACGACTACAGGCAGGCAACTCAAAAAAGCATTGATGCAAATCATCTGCTTCCCATTGCTATTTCTGAACCAACACACTGGCCTACAGATCCAAACAAACTCCGAGATCTTCTGGATTTTTTCTTAATTAAAGGTGTAGATGGATCATCTAATAATACCCCAGTTTTTCTTACAATAAGTGTGTCTGTTTTGGAAAAAATAACTGCTCAAAAACTTTATAATTAATACACAGACTGGCATTTCGAGAAATATTACAGGACGAGTTAGATCTAAAAATCTCATTAAAAACCCGATGCCATTGCAAAAGCTACTCTGAAATTAATGCGTACGATACGAAATGCAGCGTGGGCTAGTACTCCAGAACTGAAGCCAGTTTTTCATAGACACAAAATAGTTCATAAATATTTATATTTAACACAACGATGTATTTGATAAAAAGATTTTGAAATTTTAATTCAATATTGTTGCTTTTCGAAATTATGCTTATGCTTTTTTGTTTGTTAATTATATTGAAAGTATATTTTTGGTGAATGAAATATGATGATTAACATTATCATAATTACAATTACTGCAAAAACTTAAATCAAATATGAGATTGAACTCACCTCAATAAGTGCGGCTGTGTTTTTACTAGTACCTTGATATCAAAAAGCAATTTTTTAAATGCTGCTATATTTCATACATACTTAAACGCCAATTAAACGCTCAAAGTTTTATAGCAAGAAATTACATATTCCGCTAAACCTGTTAGCTAACATATTTATCGCCTAAAGGAAGTCCAGCCAGGCTTTATATGACTTTCACACAACAGCGAGCGTTTCCAATCGAAAGTATTTTTGTTATTTTGATAGGGCGGTCACGTTCAGTCCTTAGCGCCCCCGTGCGAAAATAGCCGCTTGGTCGTGCGATCACCGCGTCTTCAGTGATGTTGAAAGAGGGTTCTAATTTATCGTTCAATGTTTAGTTTAAATATTTATGTAAAAATAAACAATGGGACCTTTTCATTTTGCGAAATGGCAGAGCAACAATGACCTTCAGAGTAATAATAAAATCTGACGTGTGAGAGTGTCATCGATTCAAAAAGGCTAGTGCTGAGATGGGTAAGATAATATCTATACTTATAATAAATCTGTAGAGAGGTCAATTCTGTACATGAAATATATTTTCAAAATAACTATCAGGGGGTGATTAGTGATCGATACTGATGCCAAAAATGCAATCAGTAAAATTTTTGTCTGTCTGTCTGTCTGTGTGTATGTTCCTTATAGAAACAAAAACTACTCGACGGATTTTAACGAAACTTGGTACAATTATTCTTCATACTCCTGGGCAGGTTATAGTATACTTTTCATCACGCTACAATCAATAGGAGCAGAGTAGTGAAGGGAAATGCTGGGAAAACGGGAGAAGTTACTCCATTTTTTAAGCTTCCGTCGCGTGTGCAGCCTTAGTGGTTAAAGTTACATAGAAATCATGTATGACGGAAATATTTTAAATAAAATTGTCTAAAAAATATCCCGCAACAGCATATGTCTATCTTTTATGGTTGACTCACAATAACACGTGTAACTCCTGATAGCTTAGCAGTTCGGAGCATTCTGATTATATTTGTTTACTCTTACGTTTATAATACTCTCATTCATCCCTAATTTAAAAAAGTTAACATTATTACCTATTCAATAAAAAAAGAATCATAGAAATCGGTACATAAACACCAAACTTATACATGAAATAAGCCATCGCGCCGTCGCACGTGAATACTGAATCATGCTATAAGGATTATTTTTGTGTAACGGTTGGAAACACTGATAATTTTAGAGGTTTTTAATGTAAGGTCGTAAATAAACACAGTTTTTTCCGCTTACATTGCAAACGCTGGCTGAACCCTACGAGATCGATCAAAATAATGTACTACAGTATTGTATACCTTAAAAATGTCTAGAAAAAAGTCCGCCATGGTATCTGTCTATCTCTTAGGGATAACCCACAATAACCATTTATATCCTATACTTTTTACGAGAAATAATAGATTATTTACGAAGCGATTTTCAGCAATATAACATTCTTCCTTATCTATTTAAGTACCTTAAATACATTGTGCATTTAATATAGACCATTTTGGCTATTTAACGCATGCAATTTAAATGAATATTTTCGAAGATATTACAGATTTAAAAAGCAGGGACATAGCGGTTCCGACGCTACCGGGCGGGGCGCCTGGTGGCGCGTGCCTATTGTAATTAGGTATTAGAAGAATGTCATTGTGTATAATACAAGCCTGAGAACAAAAACTATAGTCTATACTACAGCTCTACACCGAAGCGAAGCGCGGGCGGGCCACTAGTCGTTAATAATTCTTTAATTCAATTCATTTCATCCGTTCAATCCACATGATTTACAATTTAAAATTAATTTATTAAAAGACTGTTATTAAATTAGTTAATCTTTGCTTTAGTAGACGGTAGGTAAAGGTCTGTCTGTACTAATAAAATTGTCCATCAATGCAAAGGCTTGTATTCTGTATCAATAGAAAACCAAAACGGTTTGACTATACTATATTGTCACGAACGCCCTGGAACCAAAACTGCGAACATACTGGAAACGTGAATGACTTTGATGAAATCCGAGTTGTGCGGTCCATTCGAATATGACCCTAACAATGCGACGCAAGGATGAAAGTGCAATGACACCTGCGTACTTGTTTAGAACTCATGCGCTATCTACGTATAAGTAATCACCGGTGCTATGAACTCTGAATTGACTTTTCTGGAATGTGTTGATTGCCGCCGCCGCATCGCCGATCGGCGCCGCACGGTGACAGTTTACTTTCAAGGCGATAATAGTTGAGTTTCGGAACAGCGATTTCGAAGATAAATTTATCATAAAGGTACAAAGAAAGAAGTAAAGTCTAATCAATCCGTTGAATAAACATAACGCCATAAAATGTTAATCCGGTATAACTTGCATATTTTATGCAAAATTAATGCACTAAGCTGTATAACGAACTTAGCAAGTCACACACCAGTTCAAATACCTTATATTGCTCACATGTAGGAGCCATTGGCATAGCTATAAAGCATAACTAGATGATTATTGCACATATAGCATAAGCAAAATAGCATTTATAAATATGAATGTTGCTGCTGTCTAAATCAGAAGTTGACGACATTTCAAGTCAAAAGTATAAATATAATGTGTTGAAATACCTATTATACAGGACCTAGGTATGTGACTGTAATAATAATATATCTAAAAAGATTTAAAATGTTTACGGCTAGACTTCGTAGTTTTATTATTTTTTGTAGAGTGAGGTTCATAGAGCTCGTTATGTAAACTTGGCTATTCTAAACCTCGTAGTCATAATGTTACTAAGATTCTTCAATACAATATTTAACCTTTTATATTTCATATGTTGTTTTCATTGGTATTAGTTGGCTTACTAAGATTCAGTACTTATGAAGTCATTACATTATCGATTGATAAAAGAGTATCCATAACGTAGTTCACCAGTTCTTGCTCTGATATTTAATTCCACTCCTATGTCATCATTCAATGCAACTTGCGCTACTGCTTTCAGTTTGCTTAATTGATTCTGTTTGCTTTGCTGCATCTATTCCTTGCAATTTTATCATGCTAAGCTGTCGCATGCTTATCAGAATAGTAACACGCGCATCTCGCAACACCCACGCTGCTGATGCTTGTATGCTAGTGATACTGCTAATTTTTTTGCTTAGTTGCAATGTTATCAAGCGAACTACGAAATGTATTGTGTTATATACCTCGGGTTTCAGCTGCACAGCTTTTGCATAACAGCGATCAGCAGAGTGATGACGTCTCATATCTCTTAACGCTAACGCTGCTGATACTGCTGTATTTACTGCTAAATCGTAATTTTATCAAGCCAATTATTAACTGTAATTTGGTATACCTCGGGTTCTAGCTGAACAGCTTTCGCATACCAGCGTTCAGCAGAGCGGCAACGTCGGGCGTCTCGCAACGCTTGCGCTGCCGCAGCCGCCCGTATTCCGTCGGTAGGTGCTAGTTGCGCTGCTGTTACCAACTGCTCAGCTGACTCACGTAATCGGCGCTGAGATCGCAGGAACATACCTATGTGATCAACACGCGATATCAGCAAATTCGATAAAAGCGATATATTTCATTTTTTGCTTTAATATTTTTGAATGGATATAAATCGCAAATCTTGAAACTTCTTAAATTATTCTTGACGTTTTGGATCCCACTCAAATAGTATTTTATTAATGATCGCTTTTGCGTGAAAACTTATGAAATAAATATCCTTTCAAAATTCAAATTGCACTTAATTCAGACAAATAATTTCTCTAAAACTAAATATACACGATAATTTATCAAATTTACTGATAATTTCATAAAACAAGAAGGACCTATATAAAATAACACACTTAAACGAGTTTATAATTCGTCTTTTTATTACTTTTTTGACGTTGATGACGATGATTTTTATTTACTTTTGACGAGCTACCTTCGAAAGAGCTTTACTTAACGTTCGGATCTTTGATCAACAATTCTAACGGGTTGCATACAAAATCAAAGCTAAAAACTGTCCGCGTGAGTATATACTTATGCAGCTATATTCGATATCCAAGGAACAAAGACACATATTTTAAAACAGTTTCTAACAACAACCAAGTCACAAAGGCATAAAGTTACAAATAACAAAATGGTTTTTCGTACATACGACCTTTTATCTTATAAAACGAACAGGACAAGAAATTATATCTGATACTTGGGAAAAAGGATAAAGATGAAAAAAGGAAAATGAGAAATCAACCTTATGACCCACAAAATTTAAGTATTTTTACCAGTCATTAGCCAGAGAGTTACTTCGATTTTACATCGATTGTAGTCACTTTAGTCATTGCAAAATGGTTTTTGGAAAAAAGTTGGACAAAATATTGGACCAATGTTGTCAAATATTCTTAGAGGATATTGTGATTATATTAGAAATATGATATTACTCATTAGTGTAAAGCATAAAATATAGTGTATTTTACATGTACTTACTGAAAGTAACATACTCCGACAGAAACATTGCTTATTCGGTAGTTATTTTTGCAACTTTTGAATGCACATTGTGTAATCGTGACGTGTATTTACATAGACTGTGTATTAACCAAACTAATTGAAAATAAGATCTCGCGCCTCAAGAGAAGATCTATATTTACCGAGACGGATTTTCGCGCCCTTTATTTAAAGAATAGTTGATCGAAGGTTTGGATACTTCTTTGAAAGATTATTGAAATTTTATAGACAATAATGTGAATATATGTATATTAATTTATTAGCTGATTTAATTAATGAAGTACTTTATTTAATTCCCTTTAATTTTGTTTTTCTTTATTTGACCCTAACTACCGTAAACTACCACCAGTTCCAAATTTGGGAGACCTTTCTGAGAAGCACTCTCGAAACAAACTCAGAGAGTATTTTTGTCTCCTCCTTATGTTCAATCATGTTAATAAAAAGAACTGATAGTATCTGTTAGTCTTGCAGTGAGTGTTCGGGGTGCGATTTTATCTGTTGAATAAGGGGTTGCCAAGCTGGTGGTATATACCAACTATCTTCTCTTTTGAAATTTTGGTGTTTCTTAAACTCAATAGCCTCGCGTATCATCCTATGAATGAATCGTTGTTCATTTGTGAGGATCTGTTGTTTATCAAATGTAATGTAATAGTTTGTTCCTCCTAATGCATCTGCAGTGCAGTGTAGCAGTGTGTAAACATGCATTGGAGGGACCAAAGTAATAAAAAGACGTATTTGAAATACTATAAATAATCCGTTTGTGTGTTTCATTTAATGAGCGGTGTGCCTGAAAACTTAAGAAACAAATAAGAAGTATATAGATTCCAAAACATTGCTCATAATATTAACATATTATTTGGATATAAACACAAACCACAAAGTAATTATAAGACATTATTCACTTAAATGCTTTACCAAACGAAAGCCCATAAGGTTAATATACTTCAGGTTTAGGAATATATAATCTTCGACTCTGTAATAAGCTTTGACGTGGCAGTATACTACTTAAGGTTAACCAAAACAACCTGTTCCACAGGACAGTATAACAGTCAATTAAAATCGCATTATTTGCCTTTGAAATCGAGACCGTTTTATGGGTAATTTTAAAGTTATGAGGTGCACCCTTGAATGAGGGTTGCTAAGCACTTCCTACCATATAAGACGTGAGTAGCGGGCAATCGTGAAAATAACTTTCTACATCCACCGCCCGCTTACGCATACGATTGAACGGAGGCGCGAATGAAACGCAAAATCGGCAGCAACTCAACTCAAGACAAAAGTTGTTCGTTTGCTGATTATGTTATTATCGCGTTGCCGCCGATCGTCGCGTCCCGCGGTTTTCCCGCGGCTCCGTCATCACCCTGGACTGCGGCACTAAGCACCCACATGTGCTGTGTCGGGTGAAATCATCGTCATCGTAAGGGAGTGTTTTATACTCGTTACTTTAATTCCCGTATCCAGTCTTGTTTTTCAACGGCAAATTGTGCGAAATAGTCTGACCCAGTTGTAGCGTAAAGCCACCAATTGTTTTTTATATGTGTATGTGGAGCGGATGCTACAGAACCATACAAACTAAATTATTGCTTTCCAACCAAAATTACTCTATTCTGTGACGTGAAGAGAACTAATGACGTCGTGATTGCAGTATGGAATAAAACAATTTTACTGCAACTTCGAATAATAAAGCAATTTTGCTGTTCTACATATTACAACGAGAATATTTTTTACGATTATAATTTACTTTCAGGGTTCCGTATACGGGTATCAGAGGCACATTTTTTTACTAAGTTCTGGCTATTTGTTGTTAAAGAGTTGGTACCTTAAAGTTCGTAATAGATAGTCAGTTACTATTCACAAAATACTAAGATATTACCATTAGTACTTTTAAAGCAAATCATAAAATATAGGAGGGCCTCATTTAAGATACGTAACTTCCAGCACGTCGTTTTCAACTATACCAAACGCTGTACTTAAAATATTGAAATGCTGCTAAATAAAAAATAACTTAAACATCTCCTATATTATAGTTTCGCTATGAAACGAATATTCTATTATCCAATTATTACGACAAATAAGGCTATATTCGTCAACCAAATAACAACTTAATTGGGTACTTTCACGTAATTGTTCTAAATTCAACGACATAGGAAACAATTACTATACGGTATGTATACTACTACTACTATAGGTATATAAAAAGGTCATTAATTGAACAGTAGATTTTTAAGATGCTACGGAACCAGTCATATGCGAGTCCGATGTGCATTTAGCCTGTTTCTTCTTTTATAAAGTCATTTGCACATTGCAGTAAAAAATAATCCATGTCAAGGCTCACTTGCGACATGTATGCGGTTCTGATTGGTTGAAAATTATTGAAGGTATAGAAAGATTATTTTCTTCATTCATACACAATTTATTGAATCCTGCTGAGAAGAAAATTATCAAAGATATTCTGGAGTACTTTTCCACTGTTCAAATATTCTATTGATCAATATGAGAACGACAACTTGGACGCAGTCTTCATTTCGATCAAAGGGATTTTAACAAGCGGCAACACACAAGTCGAGTTAAAATTCTATACGTTTCCAAACCACTACTCGTGCTGATCAACTGAATAGGCTGACAGTCTATAACAACATGTGATAACAACTCAATACGCGCCAAAGCAGGCATTATACGCGTACATCAAGATGCTGGCAATGGAGAAGCGATGTTCATTATGAAGCTGCGAGTATACCCCCGATCATCTATGTATGATTTAGTGTCTGTACAGATTTACGCGCGTAAAAATCTACGATTACGCGTGTTGACGCGCAACCTTCTGTAATAAGCTTTTGTATCTATATTCGTTATCCAAAACTTCACATGCACTATGCAAGGAAATTTAAATCCTTGACGTTGGATAGACTGTTAAGCTCGCACCTAACTCGGCCATTATGTGATTTGAGGGTTGCTTTCAGGATATACTCGTATTGCAATATTCACAACGCAAAACGCATTTTCAGCTAAACCGATACATAAAAGTATTTGTATTTGCAACGACTACTTTAGCTATGTATCAAATAAATAAATTCATACCCTAATACATACATATTTTTCACGCCAGATATCCCTTGGGACCAGATACTGGATTGAGGAAGTAACCTTCTGCCTACACAAGATTCAGCGAAATAACAATACCTTTTAATGATAGTATGTTTCTGTCGTTTAAGGTTCACAGGGTTTCACATGGTGGGGAATGTGTTTTGGATAAGCAATGCGCTGGTGATACTCAGTTAACGCAGGCATCTTTAGCCTATGGCATGTTACGGCGCATAAGTTTTTTCCACCCTTTTTACAAAAAATAAATAAAATGTGCAACTTTCTGTCTGTCTTTCTTACTTACATAACTACTTCTTAACAATGCCACATTTGGTATTGATTATGTCTAAGATGTAGTTCGATACCATCTTATAGTGAAGGTTTGCCAGTTTTTCCCCAGTCCAAATACACCTTGGACTAGGCCAGGACTTGCCTGGCGCATTTCCTTCTAGTCTACCTAGTACAGCATGAAAATAATGTTTATTAGTCTTCGCTTTATGAAAAATTTACACGAAGCATTTAATTTTATTTCAGCGTACTTTACTAACGTACCTTGATCATTACACATATTAGGTATGTTATGTTTAATTTTTTCCCCCATTTTAAACCAACTTCAGCGTGTTTCTTTGTAAGAAATAGTTATCTAAATATGTCACAAAGTACTTTTTGCTTTTATGTAACGAGAATGAGGTCGGTATTGGATTATTTGACGACCTAAAAACGTCGTCTCTATATCACGCTGCTGCTGCGAAATTCCTTTTTATGGCCGGGTTATATTATAGAAATAGAAGTATCCTTGTCTCATGTCAGTCGAGCGTGTTAGTGAATATAGTTGATTTATATTTCAATTCATACTTAATATTAAAAAAAATGTTAAAGTTACTTTGTCTGTTATACTTTAAAGTCTAAATCGTTGAACCGATTCTGACAAACTTTGATGTAAGGCAGTATATTTCGCATTTTAGTATAGTTCGCTAGCAAAATCCTGCTATATTTGCCTGGGAATCAAAGTATTCTGCGGCTATTAACTTTTTCACGCATACAGCATGGATTTATGAACAACGAATAACAATTGTAGGAGTCGAGCTTAAAAGCTTTCACTATTTGTATTTGCTAAAATTGGAAATGCGCATGTTAAAAGTTTTAAAATGCGCGGGATGTCTGAATGTTGCAGATTTGCTAGGAGCCCGTTTGTAATCTGCATCAAATTTATTGTTTTCATTAAGTGGCACGTTTGCTTGTCTGCTTTCGTAGGTATTATCAAATTGATATTGTGCATAATCTAAATATATAAATGATGAAACTGACTGAGTGACTGAATGACTGACTGACATATCAACAACCCAATCTGCTAGGTCTATAGACTCCAAATTTGGCACGCAGGTTCCTGATGAGGTCAAGGGGTGCACTAAGAAATGATTTTTCAAAATTCACCCCTTAAGGATTTAAAATAGGGGATGATGGTTTTATGAAAATTTTTATACCTTGAGTAAATAGACTTAAAACTTGACACGAATATTTAGTTAAATAAATAAATAATAAATTTCCTAAACTACACCCTAAAAGGGAATTTGAAGTGTGTCAAAGTTTTTATATGGATGAATTTTAACGCGCATTTCGATTAACTCTAAACTTGGTATTTTTACTAAAGACCAGACATATAGTAAAACGTATCGGGTTTTTCAAAAAACTACCCCTAAGGGGGTAAAAAGGGGGGTGAAAAAAACATTGATATATCACAAACATTTTCATTGATTTTTTTGCAATCGCTTCAGGCTACAGCTATAGGATTTACTGAAACAGTAGTTAATGTTAAAGCCTTTTTATACTTCAACATCTTTTAACAAAATATTTGTTTGTAGATACAATGTATTGTACGAGTATATTGTCTTCAAGATTAATCCTGGCAGACGCTAATGCATTCATAACATCTTTAGTCCTGTGATAATATCAGACAGTATATTGCAGGGTGCTACATTTATTAAACAGTATGAAAAATTTAATCTCAACATCGCAAAAACTTTTTCTATTTATAATGAGATAAAAGGTTAAAGATAATAAAAGCTAACGTATTAAGCGAGATAACAAAGTCACGATGAGCATTAATGAAACGATTAGCATATGAATGGATATCTTGATTTATGTAAAGAAATAATTTCAGTATAAAGTAGGAGGTGATATCAGCCAAACCTAGATGAATACAGACAAAAGATGTTGCTCCTCAAAAAATAATGTACTATAACCTTCGTTGTTTAATACCTAAAAACTAGCGAGTCGTATTAGTTCCGTACTATCGTACCAGTTCTGATACATTAAATATACGTTAAGATACAGCCTTCTGATAGACGTGTAGACAGCGGATAGTGTTTTGCTGTCACGCTATTGATATAGAACTCGTTAAAGAAACAACAACAAAAGGTATTTTAAAAGCAACCACATAATTATACTTTCACTTTTATATGGCTTGCTTGCCATCCTTTTAACATACAAAAACAGTATTTCATGTTTTCACACCTTTCAATTTATTTTGAAATCCATGAACAGAGATTAAGACAAAGACAAAGGTTTTCACCGAAAGCGTGATACAGATATGTTAGGCTAAGTTCACACGGTTACACGTTATTGCACTGCACGTTTTTATGATACGAAAAGATACGATATTAAACGCACATGAGTCGAATATTCACAAAGTTGCAATTACTCCAGCCATTCTACGAATAGAATTATGAACGTTTTAAACAGTTCCTACTTCGGTAATGCCTACTGGGCGTTCTAAATCAAGAGGCGGTGCAATGTTTGCGAGTGCGAGAGGCACCAATTTATCAGTCGTACGGCTTATAGGACCCAAGCCACCTCGATGTAGCCATTTATAAGGACTGCAGCTGACCTAGCCACGCAAATGTGCTTCTGACCGTCACAACCACTAACGTAAGCTTTGTGAGAATTGTTTATTGCGTCACAGAAATCGAGAAATTACGATTGTTGAATGTGTCTGTAAGACTTATGTCGAATTAATCTATTAAGAATTTCAAAATGACTTCAATACTTAAATAAGTTTGAAATTAAGATATAAGTAGACGATTTAGATTTGTGGCTATAATAAAGGTTACAATAATTTATATTTTCAAATGTACTCGTATGTACATGAGTACATTAGAATTCATTATACATTACAATTCATAATACAAATGGAACTTACCAAATTGGTCTCGTACTGAGGGATCATTTGGTGCTAATTTTAGAGCTTTCTTGAACCACACTTCTGCTTCTATTGATCTACTCGTCTGTAAAAGAAAAAAACAGTTAAACAAATAGTATTCTTTAACTGCCTGGTTAGCAAATGACAACACGCAATTTAATGTTATATGTACATTTGGAGTCTAAATCCGAGGATACATTATGTATGTGATGCGACAGAGATACGAGTCAAAAGGATCAACTTCACCGTGAAGATAATGCTATTACCGCATCCTATAGAGCTTTAGTGACTTCAGTCACTGCAGAAACGCATTATTGCAAATTCCATTAAATGAAGGATGTTTCCCAAGACGAGCGGTGACGCGTCAATTCGAGGAGACTCCGCTGGAAACTTATGCCTGTGCTCTTAAAGTTGGGTCACGATATATCAGGACGTGAAGTTCACGATACATTGATTTTCTATTTTAACAGTGCAGCCCCTGCATACCTCGAAACTTATCTTATTTCTATAGTCTCCTTCAATTTCTAATTTGAATATGGAAACATTTGTAGACGATTGACCGCTATCGCAATACGCTTAATAAGGGGGTAAGGTTAATTTTGAGTAAATCTTAAAGATTTTTTTTAGAGGTACGTAAAACCAGTACATACCTCAGGTGCCTAGATAGCAAGCATATGACTAGCGTGATATGTTATGGCTAAGAAACTGGAGAATTTTGTCTAATCACGTATGAACGTAATTTGTGAGGCTATGCAACTTTACGGGGCAAAATGCGGTTGCAGACGAAACAGTGGAATCATGTTTCTAACTTCACTATTCTAAAATGGAAGTACCTTTTGAAAAAAAGGTAAAACTATACTTTTAGTTCTTGCCATTTGGCAAATGGCACTACTATCTGTGATGCCACATTACAGCCCACTACCGTTTATCGTCGAGGTGTTACACGGCATAAAGTAGCTCTACTCTCAGCTATTTGCATTTCTGTAAAGGAAATTTTCTCTTAACACGTCAGATTTAACGTTTATAACATGAAAAGAAGACGATGTTTTTAGAAATCGTGAAAAAACCTTCATAGCGATTTCTACATAAAAAGGTAAGAAGGATATTACGTTTTGTTATGTGTTTGCTCTACAGCGTACAGCATGGAATATTGTGTGCCAGCAACTATTGTTTACTTTTTATTTGAAATAATTTTATTGTTCTAACTTGCTACACAGCGTGGGAAAGAAAGGTGAAGTTTGGCGCAGCTAAATGTTATAAGACGCAAATAATTTATTTTCATAATGTTCTCTAAACTGCCACTTATTTTTACAGCTGTATGAAGCCACTGTTGCAAAGACCTCCCCCAAAAATACCCACACACACTACCTTCATCAGATCGTAGTAATGTAATTCAATGCGCGTTTGCCATTTAAGAACCGTTCTGTCTTTAATAGACATGGGTTTCCCGTGCTATGTATAAAGGCCATTGCCACTTCAGTCGATAAATCTTTGAAGCTCTCGGATACTTTGCTTTCTATTGCGGATAACCTCATATCTGATTCTATCGAGTACAGAAATACCGCTCTGTCACTTCATGCCTTCTGAGAAGACTTACAGTGAATGACCACGTTTGCTTCCGCAGGTAATCAATCATTGGCAACACATATTGGTCAAAGATTTTCGCCTTAAGATACTGAGATGTTTCGAATACGAAGATTTTCGTAATTCATCGAACGCTACTTCTGGGCCGGATTCGACGAAATGTTTTATCTCTTAAAGGTCAAAACACATATGAAAGCCACATAAGTGACATAAAAATAAAATATCATAAGGGAGGTAGAGGTTTAAATAATTGATTAGATGGGTCTTCACTCAATTTCTCAGAATGTTTGAAATCCTCTTAAGGAATGTTTGGATAGGTAACTATTGACGAAGTCTGCCAACCGTTCATTATTGTTTCTGAACAACAACTTAGAATAATAATTTAGGTGTTGCTATGGATAAAATACCTATACATACATTGTTTTAAACTTTCATGGTCACTAACATTATAGTAATATATAGCTAAAAACAAGATAGATAGATAGATAGATTAACACTTTATTATAACACCAAATACATAATTACGTAACATTCACAAACAATAATATTAACAAAAGCGTTATAATTGGCGGTCTTATCGCTAAGAGCGATTTCTTCCAGACAACCACTGAGTATGAAAAGTTATACAGAGACCATAGGGGTGTTATATGGCTTGGAATAAATAGTCACATCCATACATACAATCTACACCAAACTAAGTATCCTAATTAGACATATAAATATATATACATACATACACATACATATATATACACATACACATACACATACATATGCATTTAATAACATATAAACAACAAGGTACATGGTAACAATCTAACAATCCCGTAAATAACTTATATTACCTACACATACTCGTATGTTGTTTTATAATTTGCGGTTGTGATATTACCTGGGTGGCAGGAAAGGAAAGATGCTGTTACAATAAAACATGATATTTTATTTTGCAAGTTCAAAAGTTACTATTAGGAATGACATTTAAGATGGAGGTCTGTAGCTACAAAAGTAACATCCACAATGCAGCAGGTTTTTTAAAACTTCTGAAAATACCATAAAACCCGAGCGAACGAAAGAAAGAACTGGAAAATATTATTAGGAACAAAAAAGGGAATTTTCCGTTCCCTTTAGCGCATTTTTTACAGAATATACGAAGTAAGTTTGTTTTTATAAATAACTCATTCAAGAGTACTATTGAAATAATGTACAATAAAAACATTTTTAACGAAAAAAATACTATGGAAATAAAAGAACTTAAAGTAAGGAAATGACACTTATCTTTTTGTAAATTTAAAATGTAAATTTATTAACATTATTTGTTGGTGCTGTTTATGTAAATAAAAATCTATTTTATTTAGATGCACTTAAAATAGCAGATAATTCGCTTAAATCCCCGTGAGCAACCGGACTTTTATAAAAAAATTAAATAAAAATATAAGAGCTCTCGTTTGCCTGTTCTATGAAGTTAGGTACATAGATAAATGATTGGTCTCGCTTTACTCGAATAGATACCGCCGGCGTACTTGTTTAATGCGGCAACAAATACTATGCCGAAATCGGCATACCCGAGCTTTCACCGAGTCAGTCAACCTGACAGTTTACACAACTGTCACTGGGGTATACGTAGTGAATTTTTTATTAAAATTTGGTGTTAATCGAAAGTAAAATGCCAGTTTATGTAGAGAAATAATAAAACAATAAATAACAAGGACGCTGGGATCACATAACATCAATAAGTATGGTAAAATTTCGAAATTTCAACATAAAATAACATGAACCCGTATACAAGTATCAAGTCCCTATGGTTGAGATTTTTATTTATAATGTAAAATTGTTAGTGTATTTTATTATTGAACCTATGTTATTTAAACTTACTATTAAACTTGCAATTTAACTTAACCTTGTTTTATATTATTTAACGTTTATCTTTGTAATCTACCATTTATTCCTTTGATATTCTGTTATTATTTTTAATAACATATTTTCAACACATTTTCTCGTAAACTGGCTCTTATTACTTACACAATTGTATTATTTATTAGTATTTTTTTTTAATTTCATCATATTATTTAAATTATTTTAGGGTTAACATGACAAATAAACGATTCATTTTGTATTTATAAACACAAATTAACTTTACTAACGTATTAAGAAACATATATTTATATGTACTTAGTTTTTTTTATATTGCTGCTGTTCCGGCTGCTCAGTCGGTCTTTAAACCGACTTCAAAAAAGGATATTCTCAGTTTGATCTGTATGTATGCATGTTTGACCATGATATTCTCAAAGCTATGGATCCGAATTGGATGGGGTTTTCGCGCATATTAATGCGTAAATACGCATTTCTGAGAAGGTTTTAGTATATAATTTACTAGCAAAGTCTCACGGTTTTACCCGTGTGGATCTACGCTTGTACAATTTCCAACTAGTAGCGTATTCTGTGTAACACTAAAATATGAAAATTAAATAATTTATAATAAAAATAAAACCAACTTAAATAAAATAGATTTACCGCCTGATATACTTGAAGTCGATGCCAAGGTATGTGTATAGCAGGGAGATCATGATAATAATAACGATCGACTTCACGGTAAATCTTATTTTATATTTTCAGTATTTTTGAAATCTGTTATATTTTTATTAAAAAATTTCCTGTGCCGTTATTGAACCCGTGAGCGCATTAATAAAAATATTTGCGCAATTTTAATTCAACCCCGCCGGAAATACTTATCAAGGCATGAAACGCTAGTGATAGTTTTTGCCGCCAGTTTATTATATAGTAACATAACGACATTTCTAAAGCGACGTTCTGATGGATATATTGGTCGAAAGTCAAAAGTATTGTCGAGTTTAAAAAGTTTTGAAGGTAGCTCCGTAATGTCAAAATACTTGGCAACAAAGCTGCAAAGGTCAGTTGAACTCTATAATAGTTACTAACTACAAGTTTGTTTTTTCGTCGCAATTGTGTTGAAAAACGTCGTATGCAGCTCGTGTGCATTGATCATTACACACTCAGCTTTCTTACCGACTTATCACACTTGAATCACTGTTATAATGTACAAGTAAATATTACATGTAAAAAAATATAATTGAGGCCTAAGCATTTTTTAAAGAAGAAATCTACGCCAAATCTTATAAGTACACTAAAATATTGATATCGCATTTAATTAAGTACATCTTCTTCAAGTATTTTATTCTTCAAGTATCTACAATATTTTCCCTATTACTTGGGTAGCAGTTGAGCAGCTGGCTAGCCGGTTTATGACATTTGATAGCATCATTGCAAATTGACATATACACTGTTGTTTTTTGACAGCGCGGTATCTAGTCGAGTGAAGCGAGACCAATCATTCATCTATGGTTGGGTACTATATTTCTTAAAACTACTGAACAGCATAGGCATTCTGTATGATGCAATCTCATTTACAATCTCATTTTTTCGGATTTCTGACAAATGTCAAATATCTAATACTGGCTTCTTCTACAGGCATAGCGACATTTTGCCGTGTAATGGCGTAATGTTTAACTAAACTAATGTCTTAAATGCTACCGAAATCTGAAGTGGGATTTTATTTAACAGATTCGCCCTACTGTTCCATACAAATGAAAAAAAAAATCGCTGCAAACCGATTTAAACTAGACAAACATTCATACTCACGTTCAATTACGAACTTAGGCATTAGTGTGTGTTATGAAAAAAAAAAAGAAAATATTCGCATACAATTGACGACAAATCGTGCTTATTGCTTAGGTACTATTATAAATAAGTGTTTGTTATCTCTATCCAAAATATCCTGCAACTTTTAATTGGTAGTTTTAAAAACCTAACGACACAAGAGCACTGCGTTAGTTGAGACTGTATTTAATTTGTAATTTGACTGCTCAAAAACACCGACATGAACTTTTTATTATACTCGTATAATTAAGGTAACTAGCGGCCGCCAGCGCCTCATCCACGTTAACTTAAGTTTTTTTTAACTCTCACAGGAACCTGACATGTTTACGGGATAGAATTATCATACAAAAATATAAGGACTATACAAAAGAGCTTTTAATAAACAACTTGAATAAACTTTATTTTCATTTATTCATCGATCCAGCGTATCAAATTTCATTCAAATCCGTTCAGTAGTTTTTGCGTGATTGAGTAATAAACATATAAACTTTCACATTTATAATATTAGGATGGGCGTTTGTATGCCGGCGTTTCTATAATTGAGAAGTTTATTTATTTTATGATTTGAGCTATGGAGTTTTTAATTATAGTCTGGGCTAAACAGAAGCGACTAACGTTGATTTTTTCGTAACCGTGGACCTTACAAGTAGTTGGTACAGGAGCTGTGCTGCCACTATTATACTCTTTGTTTTAAAAGCTGTAAGTTAGAGAAAAACATACGACAATATTTTGAAAACCAACTTTCTGAGTACAGGCTAGCAGATCACATCTTCAGATATGTTTAATTATGTACAAGTATATGCCTACTAAGTTTAGAACCTAAGATTATTTGAAGTAGAGTAAAAATAAATATGTATATAATAATAAATGAGGTATGAAGTTGAAAATCCACGCCTTTAAATAGTAATAAATAATAGGAGGTAAAATTTTTTCAGTACACCTACTAAAAAAATGACCAGTGAGAAACTCAGTCAGGGAGCTGTATATATTCTGTTATTTTATTTTCTACGTAAAGGAGTCGTCAAGTTGAAATATGAGCTCAATATAAACGAGAAGTGAAGTTACCTGCCGCGCGAACAAGCTTGTAATGGTTATAGCAAATGAAACGTGAAATGATTAATTAGTATATGCGTTGACCCATGTTAATCATTGATATAGTTTATATTTACATTGTTATCGTTTGACGTAAGATATAATAGATTTGACTAAATTACGTAAGAAATGAAATCCTGTATTATTATTATAATGAATGGGAGTCTATTTATGACAATGTATTTAAAGATACTGTAGTATGTAAGTATATATTCTCCAACTTATAGAAGATAATATAGTAGCTAATGATGGTTTTCTATATTGCATTTGCAGATGGGATATTAGAATGCGTCACCATTGGAGGACGCAAGATCTGCAACTTTAAATACGCCGATGACACTACTCTTTTGGCAGACAACAAGGTCGAGATGGTTGATCTCCATGACAAAAGGGGCCGCATAAGCGAGTAAATGGGACTCAGAATTAACAGATCCAAATATTTCTATATCACAAATGTATAAAATTTGGAAGAACAGAATCTACAATCAAAATGGGCTGCGCAGTGCAAGTTAACGGAGTTGGAAGAAGCTGTTAGTAAGTTACGCTGGGATGTTATCGGTCTATCTGAAGTCCGAAGAGAGGGAGAGGACACGATAATCCTCAATTCTGGTATCTTACTATATTACCGGGAGGGCGACCAGCAGTCCCAATGCGGTTTAGCGTAAATAAGTATCGTCAACAACGTGATAACCATCGGAAGTGCGTTGAACAGGGTAGCATACCTGATACTCAGAGTATCAAAAAGATATTCGTTGAATGTCATTCTGGTCTATGCTCCGACCTCGACACATCAAGATGACGAAATGGAAGCTATGTATAAGGACATCTCTAAAGCCACGCATGGCCACAAAACCCACTACACAGTTGTGACAGTACCGCAACACTTCCCCAACCGAGCGTTGAAGGCCCCCACAAGGCTCGGTTAGTGTTGCGGTGAAAAGTTGAAAGTGGGGCAATTTGGAGTTCGACAAAAGAACGCCAGAGGTCGGATGTTGGTTGACTTCATAGAGAAGGAGAACCTTTTTATGATGAGCTCCTTCTTCAGGAAGCCCCAAAATCGAAAATAGAACTGAATGAGCCCGATCGGTAAAATTAAAAATTAGATTGACCTTATTATGTGGACGAAAAGGCACATATTCGATGATGTCTCTGTGATCAATGCTGTCAAAACGGGAAGCGATCACCATTTGGTAAAAGGAACATTGAATATCAACATTAAACTGGAGAGATCTCGACTGATAAGGTCTACGCTCCGACCAATACCAGCATAATTTCAAAACCCCGAGAGCTTTCAACTCGAACTCCAAAATCTCTTCGAAGTCCTTGAAACAGCCTGGACATGGACGATTTAAACAACATGGTGGTGGACACTGCCCGTACGGTGGGGTCCAAGTATTTCCAATCCCGCCGTTCTAGAATAAAGAAACTTTCCGACAAGACACTCCAACTTATGGAACAGCGAAATGAAATGAGGTTATAGAACTCAGCCGATGCAAGTCAGTATCGTTTGTTAAAGAGGCAGATTCCTAAGTCTTTGACGAGCGACCTTCGCTAACTTAATACTAATAGTAATAAAGAAGCTATAGAGCAGAATGAGGGCTCCAAAGTGTTTGTTTTGTGTTAACAGGGAGGTGATATATCTCCGAAACTGTTTTCTGCTGCGTTGGAGAATATTTTCAAGCTTCTGAATTGGAAAGAACGTAGCATCAACATCAATGGCGAGTACCTAACACACCTTCGCTTTGCCGATGGTGTAGTACTTATGGCTGAGACCTTGGAAGACCTGAACACAATTATTTCAGCAGTGTTTCCCAAAGAGTGGGTCTAAAGATGAACATGAATAAGATGAAAATTAAGTCGAATGTCCATGTTGTACCCACTCCAGTTTAAATTGGGAATAGTCCACTCGAAGTTGTCGACCATTACGTTTACCTGGAACAGACAGTCCAGTCAGGTAAGTCCAACTTTGAGAAAGAGGTTTCTCGTCGTATTCAACTCGGATGGGAAGCTAGGAAATTTACGTAAAATATTTGCGTCCAGTGATGACTTACGGAAGCGAAACGTGGTCTCTTACTATGGGTCTCGTAGGCAGGTTCAAGATCGCACCGCGGGAAATGGATAGAGCGATGCTTGGTATCTCCCTGCGTGATAGAATCAGAAATGAGGAAATCCGCAGGAGAACCAATGTGACCGACATCGCTCGAAGCATTGCTCAGCTGAAGTGGCCCGATCTCGAATGGCGACCACGCACCGGACAACGCACGGTGAGAAGTGGACCGACAATCCCCCCCATGTGGACCGACGATCTGATGAAGATCGCGGTAAGCCGATGGAAGCTCGTAGCACAGGACCGATCGATGTGGAGATCCTTGACGGAGGCCTATGATCAGCAGTAGGCGTCGTACGACTGAGATAATGATGATGATGACTCTACGGATTTAGATGAAATTACACATATAGAGTATGACTTGGATAGAGACATACGATACTTTTACGAGTGTTTTACGATCTTATTAAATATAGTTTAAGCGTAAAGCGATGCAAAACATACGAACAATATACTTGAAGTTGGTTTAATCACTGAAATCACTTAAAAAAACTATGAATTAGAGACTGTCGGGCGAATCCTGGGTGTTTCATATCACTCAGATTCAGATTCAGGTTTCTTTATTTTTAGGTAACCTTGACGCCTCTGTACTATTAAGTATTCTGTGGTATTACTTACGTTCCTAGCGAGTATTTGTGCTAGCGCGACGTTTGTTCCCACGTGATTCGGTGCTATTGCTAGCGCAGATAGTATGCTGTGCTCAGCTTGCGGCCACTGCTGCAGTAGTACATAAATTTCCCCAGCCATGGACAGCACGCTCTAGAGGAAAAAACAAGTTGGTAATGTATTATTTTACCCATAAATACTGAGTAATTGAGGGTATCTGAGTAATTGTCCGCATTTAAAGATAAACATAATCATTTATATAAATACTTATCTGCCTTAGTAGTATTTCTTTAATGTTAATGAATGCGGCAATAAAGTTCATCTCTTGACAAATTCAAAATGAATTGGTAAAAACTAGTCGGTTAAAACGATTGATATAACTTGGCCAATTTACATGCTACAGAGTAAATCGACCTATCCGTTTTAATGCCACCAAGGATATTGCGATGTGTTTATGGTCCTCATCGGCGACGCATAGAAAACTTACATGTCGCGTCCACCCGACAATGGGCACGTTGGTTTCTGGCAACATTTGTAGCGCTTCTTTGTACGCTGACAGCGCTTTGTGCCAGTGCCCTCGCCGGGAGTGCAGCGCTGCTAGTTGCACGAGTGCTGAGACTCGCGCGGACTCGTGCTCACGGCGGTCGCGGACCTTCACACCTTCTGCGCGAGAGCCAGCACGAAGAGCACTCGCCGCCTCAGCCAAGCGTCCATCCGCCATCAAAGAAGTTCCCAAATTGACATAGGCCACTGAAATATAAAAATGGGATTAAACTTTTAAAATACAGACACTCTTAGTACAACCACTTCATACTTTTATTGTACTTTTTACTACTATTGGTGGGATTGTGTTTCTGTCGGTGTGTTAGGTACCAGGAATTTTTGGAGTAGGGGATGGGGTCAGGGTAGGTAACAGTGCGAGTGAATTTTTTGGTGTCACAAGCGTCTATAGGCGATGGTGGCCGCTTACCATCAGTCAGGTCATAAGCTTGTTTGCCCTTTTAACGTAAAAAAACTTAAAAAAACTAGCATTAAAACTTTGCATTAACTGTGCAAACCGCTCGTGGTTACATCTGCAGTCAGTCTTACCAGTTTTTAAACTTTTACCATTATTCAATGAGTGGTGATAAACCTTATCGGTTCAATTTATTACAATGGAAAATCTATTCTCCGAATTGGATACTTTGCAAAAATATATTTATAATTATAAAGACAGCTTTATACTCACGAGCCATAGTAGGTCTAAAATAAATTGCCCTCTCGAAACTTTTGATAGCTTCACCATATCTCCTTTGGTTCTGAAGTAAAATCCCTCTGTAACAAAGAAACAGCAACTTTGAAATTCGACGGAGTTGCGGTGGATCCGACTGTTAGAACGGATGTCTTTAGAAATAGACAAGGTCCGATTTCAATAATCATGACCCTTTTATCGTTGAATCGGACCGTTCGGTCGTCGGTCACAAACTTCATCAACTTTCCAAATGATACGAAATATACGAGTAATACGAGTTTAATTAAAATTGTTGGTTCGATGAATGACCCTGTTATCGATATTGGATCGTATTTAATTTTAGAGCCTGAAGGTTCCTCAGAGGAAGATCTCTGATAGGTGACAATGTTTCAAAATCAATTAAATTACTTTACCAATACTAAAATCAATAGTTACTTTAAAATATAATTAATGAGTCAACTAACCACTTTATACCATATAAATACATACTATAAACAAAAACAGAAAGGTTTTGAACTTTGGTAGGCTTTAAGATTTTGAATCGCCATAAAAATATACATACAATATTAAATATTGTGTTCAGCAGCATCTAATACTTTATTATTTTTATTTACTAATTGAAATCGGACGGGTCGAAATTGTTGCCCACAATCAATAGTGATACATTATCACCAGGTAATATACACTCCCGGACACCTAAATGGAGGCACCTTGATTTTTTTGGTTTGGAGTACTGTAACTTATAAAAGATATATGTAGAAGGAAAACGTTTTGATGCAGTTTTGGAGCTGGTATACCATCATTGATTTAGATTGCCACTGTTCTAAATTTGAACTACAGTTTATTAAAAAAGTCGAGTTACGTTGAAACAAGTCCATATTTGCTTTTTTCAAGGAAAAAAATCTAATCGATTTTACATGAAAAGAAATGTTTATTTAGTAACTTGTATTGCCTCCCAGTGCATTTATGACAGCTCTCATACGGTTTGACATAGAATTAATCAATGTCGTTATGACATGTTGAGGAATGTCCTCCCATTCTTCCAAAATTACATTTTTGAGCTCCTGCATGGTTTGCGGGGCAGGATGATGAGCTCGAACACGCCTCTTCAGCTCATCCCATAGATGCTCTATAGGATTCATATCAGGACTTCGCGCTGGCCATCTCATAACAGTGACACCAATGTCATTTAAGTACTCCCTGACGATTCCCGCAGTATGGGCCCTTGCATTATCATGCATTAAAACGAAATCTTGGCCAATAAATCCAGCATATGGCATCACGTGGTTCTCTAAACATTGGCGATTGTATCTATTGCCATCTAGGGGCGGCAGTCGTGGTACCGTCACTACCTCTAGCTCAGTTTTGCCTTCCATAGAGATTCCTCCCCAGACTGTCCATGATCCTCCACCATAACTCACTTTCTCGTCAATACAGCATTGCGCGAAACGCTCGTTCTATCTTCGGTACACCTTACTCCTTCCGTCATTATCGTATAGTATCTTGGACTCATCTGTGAAGAGAATCTGGCTCCATTGATGTCGAGTCCAATTTAGATGTTCGCGCGCAAACTCTAGACGGGCTATTCGGTGTGTTCGTGTCAATTTGGGTCCATTGGCTGGCTTATGGGGCTTTAAACCACGTTCATTGAGTCGCCTTCTAACGGTCCGAGCACTTACAGCTACTCCGTGAAAGTCCCTGAGCTGTTCTTGTATCTGAACAGAGTTAAGGCGTCGATTTTGTAAGCTAGTAGTGAAAATTTATTGATCTTGTCTCGCCGTTGTCACTCGGTAACGAGGTCCTCCTGTTCGCCGAACGAAGCCGCCAGTCTCCAGATATCGGTGGTACACTCTTTGAACAGCGGAACGACTCATGTGAAGTTGTGAACTCACATCTCGCTGACTTAGCCCAGATTGAAGAAGTGCTACAGCTTGCGCGGCTACTTCAGGTGAAGTATCCATTATTTTATAGCCAAAAACGGTTCAAATTATAGAAAAATAACTAAACTAAACTTAGGTTTACAACAATTGCGAAAATTCAAACCAAATCGACATTAAATTGCTTCAAAAGCAACTTTCAACAGTCATTATTTTTTCAAAAATCAGTGACCAAGCTCGGCTTTTGTTCTTTATTTTAAATCCTAAAATTCAAATTTGGAATAATACATAAAGGAAAGACGATGAAATATGGCAGCATTAAAAATGCATAAAAACTTTTTTGTTATATTGTATATTTTTTGTGTATTGGGCTTTTAGGCCCGGGAATGTAAGGTGGCTCGATTCAAGAGTCCAGGAGTGTATAATCCCAGTATTTTGCCTACTATCTGCAAGATAACTTTATTTGATTTTCACGGTTATACCCATAGGTTATACCCGTATTTTGTCTACTATCTTCAAGATGATTCTATTATTCTCAGCTTCAGCGATTAAGTTAATGAAGCGACACAGCCATACTATCTTTTCGGTAAGGTACTCATAATAAGGTTCGGTTATGGATCTATGAAATGCAAGTAGATTGTGGAACGAACCCGGAGGCCTCCTCTATTTCAACGAAAAACGAAATTTCGCACGTTTCTTACTCTGTTTCTTTTTCATTTCGAAAATGTTATCAATTGAATCTGAATGATAATTGTTCAAAATTTTAACCTTAAATTTGACGAAATGAAAGTGTTACCTTTTCATTTTCGTTTTAGGACTTTTGTTTAAATTACACCTTAAATTACTGCTAGAGCATTTTTAATCAAAGCTGCTTAGCATGACCAACATTTTTTAGCATGTAAAATTAACAAATACACCCAATTTTTATGATTTTTTGTATTTCCAATACTTTAAAGTATTAAACGGCAAATGTAGTTTGCCATACAATGAAGTGCATCAACTCTACAAATAAGTCGGCTACGGCTTTGACAGTGGTCAAAGAAGAAGACATAAATATAAAAAAAAGATGTAGTTAAGTAATATTGTTTTCAAGTAAAACAGATATTTTAAAAAGTAGGGATAAAATGAACTCACAAACATGACTCATTTCATTCGTTCACGAAAATTGTTTGTGATGCCGAACTTTATGTGCGTGTTTGAAAATGAAATATAGTAGAGTCACTGGTGAAATTTCGTTTAAAATTTGTTCGTAGCCGAAATTTCGTTTCGGAGAAAGAGATTAGAGCTTCTGATATAAAATCGGACGGCAATGCGCCTGAACCTACTTTTTTACAATGAAGATATTTCGAAGTGCCGTGATGTGTGATATAAAATAATCGTGTGTCCTTACCTATACCATGCTTCTGATATTCACAGTAATAAATTGTAGTTAATTAAAACCAGTTGACGATTTCTTTTTCGTTGCATCCATTAAAAATAATCCAAAACGGGTCTTGGTATGAAGAACATTTTTGTGAAACTACCAATGGCATTTTTCTGTTTAAATATGTATAATTAATTCTAGGTTTTCTTCGCAGTAAATTGAATCACTAAGAAACCATAGTAGGTCGGTAGCAAAATGTAAAATAAAGCTTACTTAGGTACCTATTTTGGCAGACAGAGTAAAAGAGTACAAGTGAAACATAATCAAAACAAAAGAATTAAAGGTTGAATGTAAAATCTTTTTCTTGTATTTTTTTAATAGTTTATGAAGAAGTAGAAGAACTCCATTTATTTTTGCGCTGAAAGAATCTTCAAAAAGAAATCTGTATATTATTTTTATTTTCTCTGCAAATACTTTCAACGGGTTTTAAATAGTTTTATATCATAACTGGACTTTATCTGCAGCTTCGTCTGCCTTGATTTCAAACCTTAAGGTTCTCATTTTCCTGCCTTTTTTTTATTAAAATGTTTATTATGTCCAGCTTAAAGTCAATATTCTTTAGTACGATGGGTTTTCTTTAATCGAAGCAAGTTCGGCACAATGTCGTGGTTTCGTTCAACCTATAATAGTCCGTACTCACATACAGTATAACTTGTCAATTTTACTCTAAAGCGAGTAAAAATCAATGTGTGGACCGCAAAACTCACTACACGAAGGCTCGTTCGTAGTACGCCACGCGATGATTTTCACACGCTTGATTCAAACTATCAAGCAATACCATTACCGTATGTGAATACGGACCATTATGCGATTACCTTTAGATAGGTTAATTTGAATATTGATTGTCAGTGTCATGTCAATTAGTTTACGCATCAATAGACTAAGTAATTATATTTATATTAATTACTCAGTGCTTAATTATGTATTCGTTATTGTAAAACCACTCCGATTATCCACTTGACTTGATTAAAATTCCTTATATATTTTGTAAAATAAAATTATTTAAAATGAATGTAGATCATATAAAAATAACGACGTGTGATGAATTAAAAACGAAGAATAATATTTTGATATTCTATGCTAGATCTAATGGTGCATATTTTGTTTATAGATACTGAATTACTTGTAGAAAAGCAACAATAAATTGAAACATGCTAACACTATATAACATCTAAAGAAAATTTCAGAGGAAAAAAAATCTTTGGTTTTATAAATCTAACAGTTAAATGCTTCAAATGAAAAATCTAATAAATTATGTAACAGTTTTGTAACTTCAAAGAACGCATGTTAGTCGTTGACGAGTTCGATGTGTCAGTGACTTGCCTTTTCTCTCTGTAATCGTTTACTTTATAAATGATGTGTCATATCAAAATCAATATGTCGTACAAAAAAATATATCTCGAGCTCCTTCGTGAGTCGACGGCATGCTAAGTCGTCAAATAGTAAAAAAAAACATTGTCGTTCATCATCAACGCTAATTATTTAAGGAGTTTTAAATACATTTTAAGAGAATAATCTGAGAGATATAATCGGTAGATATTTTAGGATTTCATACCTCGAAAGGAAAAAAACGGAAACTTTATAGGATCACTTTGTTGTCCATCCGTCCGTCCATCTGTCAAGACCCTTTTTCTCAGGAACGCGTGGTAGTATCAAGCTGCTTTATATCACATACTGAGATCTACTGTCTCTTGTAGCTGTGAAAAAATCAAACTTCTAAGGCAACGTAGTCAAAAGTTACAGCCGTTTTGAAAATTTGCGAAACTTGCAAGGGAATCAAAAC